GCAAGGGGCACGGAGGGCTTGCCGCTGGGGGATATTTAGAGGGATGGAGTGAAAAATGGCATATCTCTATTAAGCCTGGGCTCACCAAGTCCTCCAGGACAAATCCCTGCCTGCAGGGTGCAGCCGCAGTCGCTCTGTAACGCACATACAAATGCGTGTTACAGCTGCAAGCTGCGCAGTGCCGCTGCTGCCGAGCTGCAAGTGCATTCCTTAGCTCTCACTCTCCCCAGGTCCCACACTACATGGCATCACCTATTTATAACTGCATGCACTGCAGGAATAATATTAGACTGATGGCCTCACACAGTCACGCTAAATGTTATTCTATTTATGTGTTTTGCTCCTCTTCACAAGCTGTCAGTCTCCCAGATGCCAAAACACTCTGCATAGACAAAGACTCAGATTTTTCTCTTTTATTAAAATCTTCATCAATGGCATCCAGTCCCAGGTATATTTACCATTTTTTCCCAGGTCACCTGGAGTAATTGCATCTATTATTCCTTCCCCAGTCTGATCGATATCCTTGGTAAATAAGATAACCTGTCAGGTCTGTTGTCCTTGTAGCCAAAGGTACTTTAGCAATGAAATTGTTTTGCTGAAGAAATAAATGCCTCTCGCTGAATCTGAGGATGCTGTGACCTTTCATTAGTGACCTGAGTGACTCATCCCTTTTTATGTGCGCACTGCAGCCTCCCACCACGCCGTAAAAGATGCACCACAAAGTCCCGCTGCCTGGTGCCCGGCGTAACGGGGAGCCGAGACCTGCGGGAGCCTCCTGCTCACGCTGCTTCTCCTCTGCCTTCGCACGTGGTCTTCACACCTCCGCCTGGGCCTGGGGGCTCTCACCTTATGCAGATGCCCTGTTTGCACAGTGGGGACCCTGTGCACCATGGCAGTCCCACAGCGATGTCCCCGACACCCCCAGCCCTTGTCCGAGCAGCAGCTCCCGCTGCCCCGGGCTGTGGAAATCTCTGACACAAATGCATCAGCCCATGTTTTCAGCACGGGGCAGCCAACCCACACTTGTTTAGCAAACAGGGCTTTACTGGCCATACCAACCCCCCTGAAGTGAAGTGGGCAGCTCGGTCAGAGCTTCAGATGTCAGCCAGAGGCCATGTATCACACGCCGTGAACCCTATTCACCGGTGGGGGCAAATCCTTCTACTCCAGCGGGCTAACGTCTTGTACCTCTGCAGCCAGCAGCTGTTAATCGAGGCCTGGCAAGCATTTTGCTGAACTCACGGAGTCTCTGTGGCTCCTGCGGCACTCGCTGCTCACTCCCGCTGCCCACGGCTTCCACACGGGAGCCTCTCGCCCCTTGCTTTGCTGGGTGCCTCTGGAAACACAAAGACCCTGGAAACACGAGGTGTTTAGTCTCTCTTTAGAAACCTGTGCAAAGTGAAATAAAGAATTAAACAGAGTTGAGTCCTATGCATTTAGCTGCTGCCGCTAGTGATATTTTCTTCTTGTAGAGTGTTTTGCATGCCAAGAAAAACAGTTTTGCCTTTTAGGGA